GCTAAAAAGAGGGGATCATTTCTTTGGATTGGTCCAACATTTTTTATTTTTGTTTGCCGTGTACGTTTGGAAGCAGTTTGCTTTATCTTTTGGCAGCGTTTGGTTATTTTTTTTAGTTCTGCCCTAAATTGACAAAAACCTTTTTAAATGTTTGATTTGTAATGTTTGTTTATTTTTCATGCATAAATTTCTTTGCTGACTTTTCTACTTTCGTCTCTAAATTGATAGGATCATAGCCCTCAGAAAGTCTAGATACCGCTTGGCGTATGCTGTCAATACAAAAAAATGACCCCATTCAAGCTTGTCGCCATGTTAGGTAAATTTATGTTTTGGCTACACTGATTTTTAGTTTGTGTGTTCTGTAATACGTGAACACCGATAATCTACACTTTCTTATTAGTTATAAGTGAGTGAGACGCACAATTTTTAAGTTCAAATTAAGAACAAAACTTTGACAAACCTATTTGTTTTTCCTAGATCTGTTCAGACAGGACCGGTTTTATAAATTTTCTCGTTCTTGAAATGTTATTTTTACATGGTTTTATATATATATATATATATATATATATATATATATATATATATATATATATATATATATATATATATTTTATTGGATAAATGTTTTGTGTACATATTGCTATGAGAATTATAGAGAAATTCAGTGAGATTTATGTAATATAATTCAAATTACAAGTAAACCATCTGTTCCTGTTTGGCAATATGGAGAAAATACCTACTTCAATGTCAAATGTACTATTTAAAAGAATGTGATTGTTAACCGGTCATTTATTTATAGTATATTATGAAAATAAAAACTTGAATTTTTTAACTAGGGATAGATATACTTACATCGGTAACAAGGTATTTTTAGAAAAACTGATAGATTACTTCTATTCCTATAGTTTATTTGAAAATGAATAATAGCAAAATTATATAAAAATATGGACCTTTGCCATAAAAACTGTGCTACCAAGCATTTTCAAAATAAACTCTAATGATAATTTGATTTAATAGAGCGAGTATAAGATCTCACCTGTTAGAGAAATTGGGGCATAGGGAAGAGATTATGAAGCAGGTAAGCAAAGTCGTTGCAAAACATAAATATATAAAAGTTATTTTAAAAATTTAATAAAAAACTAGTGGAACAACAAATGGAGTTGTCGCTATCGGAGATCCAATCAGCAGAAAGTAAAAAAAACACTTTGGGAATGTTGGAAAAGGGCACAGCAATAGGCTCAAAACAATTCCTTGGTTTTTTAATAAATATAATCTTGTGAGATGCAAAAAATACTGCTAGAGTGGAGAAGCAGTATTGTTTTAATTTAGAAAACCCAGGGACATACAGACAGCAGTTCACTAACCATAGGCGAATAGTCACTAAATTATACAAGAGTCCCATCTCGATTTTATTTTTAAATATTTTTGAAAATACCTATTATTTGTTACATTGAGTTTAATAAAACCACAGATTTCGAATGTATTAAAAGTTATTTAAAAAGTACGTCTATAAATATATAGAAAATGTGTACATGACAAACTAGTTTTGGGGTAGGTAAATATATTTTGAAAAATTTACAAACTTATTTTGAACAATATTTTATGCAAACATAATATGTACCTATTTAAAAGAAAATATTACATTTTACAAGTATCGCATATTTATATGAAATAACTTACTCAATAAGAAAGAATTAAATGAAACAAATTAATAAACAATGGATATGAAAAATTGCTTTAACAATTTAATCCTTAGATAAACTTATTCTTACATATTGCTTTAATCAATTTATTTACTATAAAAGTATATTTCCTATCATTTATTACATTTAATAAAATAAAGCATAAAACAAACTATAATATGTACTCACTTAGAACGGAACTAATATTAATAGAAAAACTTGACCAAAAGATGTAGAATAAATTGTCGCAACGGTTTTTAAAAATTACGATTTTTATATCATTTCTTTGGCAGTATATGTCCAAAAGTATACTAAATTTCTAAAATAAATCATTCAGATATTTCTCTAAATGAATAAATAAAACTTCACCAAGAAAGGTTAAAAAATTCAAGTAATTTGATTGTGTTTACACTCATGTTGTTTAATAGCAATTAATAAATGGAGTGGTAATATTAATAATAATTTTATTTCATAAATTCAAATAATAATTAGATATGTGACATTCATAACTAATATTCAATAACTCGAGAGATAAAAAAACCTATTTTGTTTAATAACATTATATGATGGGGTGATAATATTAATAACTTTATTGCCAACAATTTTCTTTCTACATAGCAATTCACAAATTACATTATGCGTCAGGTACCTAAATAAGTAAATGTAACATAAAATAATAACCCCACTAGAGAAACCTAAATTAAACAATTGTGAGACCATGTTTCTAGGATCAACCTTATCCAAAGCTTTAGAACTCTTTATAAATAGATATAGCATTCACTTGCTCTTGGTTATCCAAAACATGAACAGAAACATATTCAGTTAAGCATAAGTTAATAACCATTCAATGATTGTTAATAAAACTTTGAAGATCTTGTGAAATATTATCCAGGAAATAGTAAATAAATGCAATTGAAAAGAGAAATAATATAAAGTATACAATAATATTGGTCTATTTTTTTTTTGTGTGACATCGGCTTCTACTGCTAAGGTTATTTCGCCTCGTGTTCTGTGTAGGCTTTGTTACTGTTTCCCAGCGCCACTGTAGGAACAGCACTGTTAATTAGAACCCAACAGTGAATTGGTCTATTAATTGCCGTTTGATTTCGTCATACTTTTAAATATTATATTGTACATATTATTGTTTCTTTACACAATTCACTATATTTTCAAGTTTTTTGTTAATGCAAAAAGAAAAATTTGTTTCATAAGTTATTTCACTGAATAAGTTCTAGTTTAACAATATACATTCAAAGACTTAAATTAATGTCACCAGTGTGTTACATAGAAAGAGTTTGTTGTTGATTATCTTTTTTCAGCAAATATTTCATCATGGCTGAAGTAACAATGAACTTGTAATATAACTAGTGAATGATGCAATACACATTGCTCAACTTTTATAGGCTATATAAATCTAATGAGTTTATTACAAAGAATAATGGACCATAAAGATGCGATATAACAGAAAAGTTTTATTGTAAAATTACTTGGTTATAATTAAATTACAATGGCATAAATTAAGTTGTACATAAATAATTTAAATAAACACAAGTAAGCTATAAAGGGTTGTACATGGGCAAATAAAATATGACAAAACCATATTATCTGAAAAAATTATCATCAGAAGAAAAAGTTGTATCAAGGTAGTAATAGGGGACATTTTCCGAATAAAAAAAAGTAAAAAAGAAGTAACGGTCGACACGTTTTTCTGACTATTGGTCTTCATCAGTACGGTGCAGCCAAGTTCAAAGGATCATGGAACTTGTGTTAGAAAAATTGTACAATAGCATAGGTCACTAACAAGGAGCCAATAACACATTTGCCGTTTCAGTTAGTATCCCAAAATTTTCTGGGCTTATACTAAAGTCACAAAATGATTCAATGGTCTTCCTATGGCTATCAGTTATTCTTTCTTAAAATTTTTTGGTATGCTACAACAAAACATACAAATTATTTGATTTTGTAAATACACAAATATTTGTGAAAACTTACACATGAAATGTTATTTTTTCCTTGTATCTTCTACCGTTAGATGCATTGTTACATTCACGTAGAAAACAAGAGATTTTGAAAAAATTTAACACCAAACAACAAATGTTTTTTATTAAAATAAAACACTAAACGACTAAACTAAAAAATAATGTTTCAAATAAAACCTTTACTGGAGGAACAAAATAAACAACACAACAGATAATACTCGTAAAATCGATTATATACGTCGAACGCCGATCTTACGCTTATTACTAAACTTGCGCCGATTCTGTCTTGCCAGTAGTGCCAACTTAAAATTTATTGACATTTATTTATCATGGCGCCCATCATATGGGTGGTCAAAATGTTTTTACGATGCAGTATCTAGACCTTCTGAGGGCTATGGATAGGATCCTTTAGTCTACTAGAATTAATAATGTCCGTTTTCTCTTCAAAATTTCTACTTGAAAATTATTTTTTTAATAAAGAACACACAATACAGACACAATTTACCACATTATTATTGTTCACAGGCACAATGCATAGTTCCTCTATTTTACAAAAAGAAAAACAACTACGAAAAACAAACCGAAATCTATCTGAAGTCTACGCCTTTCCTACCACGTCGATTCGTGATGCGAATTGCAATATGCGTAAGGCGTCAAAACAGGGTCAATAACACGAAGCGAAATCACTTGGAAGATGAGCCGGCTCTTTCAAGACGCGCTTCCGCCGACGGACTCGAAATATATGGCGTGTACGTTTACACAATTAATTTTCTCATGGGTGGTGCGTGCGTTTACACATTACACCAATGAATTGTTAGTACATTTACGAAGTTTACGTAATGTTTCAGAGAAAATATAGTACCTAATTTAATATTAGTTTCTATGCATTGTAAACTGAAAAATATTTATTTTTTGCATCACTTGGGCAATAAATTTCAGAAAACTGCAAACTTTTTAGGACCATGCACGCATAACTCATTTGCACGCAACTTAATGTTTACGTAAGAAAATTTTACTTACTGGCGCGCTAATTGGCGCCAGTCAATCCATGCATGTTCAAACCCACCATTAGGTATCTTGAATACATGTTTTAAACAAACATTCTATTATGAAGAAAAAATAAAATTTATTCAATCTAACTGAAATTTAATTATTTAAATGAACGAGTTTTTACTTTTTAGGCAAAATTAATATTCTTCCATCGTTTACTCCCTATCCAAATCATGTCCATCGAGCTCGTTCGCACCGCCAAGATCCGAAGAGTGCACTAAGCGAGAGAGAGAGAAAACAAACTAGAAACCCAACGTAACATGAACAGAAACACACCATCAGTATCGAACGGGACATTGTGTGCGCCATATTGATATGCGGAATCCATGTCGGGGGTGTAAAAGACACTGACATCATGTGCAATTTACGTTCGTGGTGCAAATCGGTCGGGATTATCAATATAATGTGTAGTTTATAGTGTTTCGTTATTATCCGAGATTGTTTCTTACATGATTTCATACTTGGATATTTTAACTCACTCCCGCTACCTGTACCTTTATGTTTTGTCCGTCAGGTAGGCAAAAGAACCGGAAAACCCATTGGTAGGTAGTTAGTGAGCACACAATGGAACAGCATTTGCTTGTTTACTATTATTTTTAATCTTTTATTTATTATTATTAGTTTTATTATATTTTGTTCCTTTAATCTGTTTATTTTGTATTTGAATACATTATATGTCTTATTTATTTGATATTATTAATATAGGTACAATAAATATTGTTTGTTTCTCTTTTAATTTGAATCCATTTAACACTGTAGTGTTAATTACGATGTGATAATACCCACAATTTAAATATTATTTACTATTAATTGTCTACTCACTATTCATGCATTCACGATCTGTAGGTACCTAGTACACATTCACCATTGAAATTGAATATAAAAAACTGTTTTATAACTAGAACAATTCTTGTGGAATTTTTATAATTGTTGCAGTCTTTTTAACAACCTACATGATGAAATAACCAACCTAAACCTATTCTAGAATAATAAATAAACCTATTCATATTAAAAACTTATTTAATAATTAAGTAGTGATATACAATCATTTTTGTAGTTGCTAGGTAAATATATATGGATATATATATATATAGATGGAAGTAAACTGAGCGCAAAAATAATCCCTTTACCTCTATTTTTAAAAGGGTCTATAATCATTACATGTAAATTGGGCGCCAGACTATCTTTAAATACCTGCGATAATTAATACTTAATGTAATCTAAACTAAATCCCAAAATTAAATGTTCTTTACTTGCTCAGGTCAATTAGATTTATAATTTAGTTTATTTCTACTGTTGATAGCGTACAGGTGGACTATGTCGGTGTCAGTCGTTAAAAGTGATTTAATTTTGTATGAAAATTTTACATTTTCAAAAGACAAAGTTTTAAAAAATGTTGAGACATCATGGAGATGTTGCCAAAAAAACTGCATTGTAAAGCCAAACTTTATACTGTTGGTACAGGAAACCTAATTACATAATTCATGAAATAAATGAACAGAAGGTAGGTACACAGCGAGGTACACAGGCAATATGTTTCAAATGCATGTAAAAGAAAGGCTGTAAAAGATGTAACTGAAAATCTTTCAATTTGTAAGGCATTATCAACATGTTTGTCACCATCTCTCACAACTATTGATATCAGTTACATCAGAAGAAATATGTATACTATCAGGTCGGCTACCTAAAAATATAGAAGAAGTGCATAGAGCTCTCAGAGTATATAATGAAACGTTATTAACAAATAAAGGTGAACATGTTTTGTTTATCAACAATATTGAAAATAAAAATTATTGTGTTTACATGGAAACGAATATAATATATAGACGGAACATTTTAGTTTTGCACAGAACTTTTCTATCAACTTTTTACAATGCATGGACTCCAAAATGGCCACTATGTTTTTTTAGTTTTTTGTCTGTTACCGAATAAGACTACTGAATGTTATAAAAAGTGATTTTCTTTACTAAAATGTCAAATTTTTGAAAAGTACGGTCTTATATTTAATCCAAGACAAGTTTTTGTTGATTTTAAAAAGGCAATCCATGTAGCATTAGTGTATATTTGCATACCACAATCATCAACTATTTTTCTACAAATATAAAAGTTTTTGGCGTTCGACATTTTTCTCAAAATTCGAGTTCTATTGAAGAATATTCTTTTACTTCTTCCAAGAAAAATTTCTTTTTCTAAAACAAAATTATAGATGAAAGACGGATTTTGACAATTCATTCTTTTAGATTATTTTTTCTTCAATAATATTTTTCTAACAGTATCATTGTCTAAATATAGCATATATAAAACAATATCTTTTTGTTTCATTAAAATACACATTCATGTAAAAAATTCGCCCAGCGGTAAAAACAGTCTGTTCGCTATACTTACGCGGGTTTCGGATTAACAAAATTATGCAAATTAGTCAGTGACAACCAGTTCCAATAAGCCTCTTTCCAAGAAATTAGGTAAAATTGCCCTAATGGTCAGATTTAAATTAAAATAACATTAGAGTAGGTACTAAATTTGTTACAAATTTTGCTGTTGAATTGATTATTTGCAAGTGTTGACATTGTATGTATATTGTAAATTTAGTGGATATTTTAAAAATGCCTAGACGTGTGTTAGATGTCGATAGTCTAATTTGTAGTGTACATAATTATTTTACGGATGAAAAAGAAAATGGCGGTCCTTTAAAATCGGTAATGTCTGTACAACAACGCGTATGTGATGCTCTAGGAATTATTGAAACTAAATTAAGAGGAGTATTACAAAATCACAATAGTGAACTGCCGAAAGAAGATCACCGCAAAACTCGCCCATCATTGAAATCGAAATATATTCCAGATGGAAAGAAATTTGAAATTCGTGATACCATTTATCGAATGAGGGCCAATAAGGAACATGTGACCTTAAATACAATTCTCTCGGAATTAATAGATAGAAAATTTGACAACATTGGCAGAACAAGTCTATGGCAAGTGATACATAACTTGGGTTTCAAATTTCAAAAGAAGGATAACAGAAAGACCCTTTGTGAAAGAAGTTCTGTCGTGAACAAGAGAATTAACTTTCTAAGAAAATATTCTAAATTTAAAGAAGAAGGGGCGAATTTTATATATTTAGACGAAACATGGATATTTTCTAGGGGTACAACCAAGAGAATATGGCAAGATGATAACGTAAAGTCCATCAAACATACCAATGGAGAAAGGAAGCGACACATAATTTTACATGCAGAAGGAAAATCGGGTTTTATAAAAGGTGCTGATTTAATATTTTCATCTAAATCAAAATCCAGTGACTATCACGATAATATGAACACAGAAATGTTTGTAAAATGGTTGCATGAAAAACTTCTCCCAGGTTTAAGTGAGCCCAGCGTAATTATTTTAGACAATGCACCTTACTATTCTGAAGTATCAAACAAAAGTCCAACGAATTCTTGGACTGTTGATAAAATTAAAGAATAGTTGACAAAGGAACATATACCATTTCCTCAATATATATTAAAATCAGAATTATTACCACAGCTTAACAATACAGCTAAAACACTCTCTTGGCGGCAACGGTTTGCTTCGATTTCGTCGCGCATCGCTTAAGCTCCGCCTTCGAAGGGAAAAGACGGTTTTGGTGTTCAGAAGCGTACTTAGGTAAGGTGTTGAGTCGTGCGTATAATTTCGTTGATTGTATAATTTCGTGGAGCCTATAATTTCGTTGATTTTGTTTAAGTCAAAGGTACTGTTATTATTTTGGTGACTCTTTAGCTATGAGTAGAATGAGTGAAAAAAAAAGACATCATTCTGTTTGTGCAGTCAAAAGCTGTTTTAATAAGGGTTATACCTGCAAGAAAACATTCTTTAGTTTTCCCAAGGACCCAAACCGATAAGTACCACATTATAAGAAATTTTCATTGTTAAAAATATAATTTATACAGGGTATCCCATTAGTGCGTTATTGTTCATTATTTTGTTGTAGACACGCAAGAAAGTTTTAAATAAAAGTTATATGGATTTGAAAAATACCTACATATTTTAAAAATATCTTTGGATATACAGGGTGTCACGTTTTTGCCTGGCAAATTAAAATGTATGTTTTTTAAATGGAACACCTTGTATTTTATTTTATGATAAAATTATTAACACCCTAAATTATTGTAAAGACGAATTGATACAGAAAAATTTTATCAGGTATGTGTGTGGTTACCTTTTAATAAAAGCCTTGCGGATCCACTCCTCTGCGATACCTGTCTTAAATATAACAAAGTTCACGTTGAATTAGATGATTTTTCTTTTTATTGCTTTTTAAAGGCATATGATAACGCCAATCCAGATACATTTGGAAATTTGCAACTGTCAAATGATGAATTTGTAGAACTAATATTCAATATTGAAAAGATATTTCAAAATAATTTTGAAGAATTGGCTACAAAAAATAACATTTGTACCACACTTTTAGAATTAATTAACCCAATACCCTTTAGTCATCCATGCTAACGTTTTCCAAAAGAATAACTTATTTTATTGTATGTTTAATCTCAATAACTAAAAAATATACTGACAATTAGTTTGACAGAATTGTCATTTATTTAAAATTTTAAAAATAATAGCAGTCGGTTGATCAAAATATGAACGGTGATTGGCGAATTTATTTTTGTTTGCAGTGTTCTCACTACCTAGAATGGATATGAAATAGATTCGTTCAATTGAAGGCAATAGCATACTTTTTCGTTTTGTAATCTGTGCATGGATATTAGCCAATCTATGCACATACTACAAAACGAAAAAGTATGTTATTGCGTTCAACTACGAATATATTTCATATCCATTTTAGGTAGTGAGAACACTTTAACAAAATTAAATCTACAAATCACAGTTCATATTTTGGTCACCCAACACTCCTATTATTTAAATTTTTTTAAATAAGTGACAATTCTGTTAAACTAATTGTCAATATATATTTTAGTTATTGATATTAAATATACATTAAAATTTTTGTGTAGACTCGATAAATAATAGCATTTTTGTTTTTATTGTGTCCACATTTAAAAAAAAATTAATTTTAATCAAACTACATGATACTAATTTAATTACGAGTATTAAAACTAAAGTCCTGAAAGTTTCGGTGAAGATGAGGACAGAGCATCTGTCTTCCACGCGAAAAGCCCGGGATCGAATCTAGGCCGAGGACTAATTAATTTTTCATGTTAATTTTATTTTATAAATTAGTCAACTTCGTAAATTATTTTAAAATTAGTTATTTTGTCTAAATAACCTAAAATAATTTTTTAAATTTGTAGATTTTCGTTAGTGGGTCGTAGAAAAAATATACTGACCATATCGAGTGGATTGTTCATATCACAATCAGATGATTGAGTACTCCGCATACGACGTCGTGCTCAAACTTCGTCTTTGTGTGATATTGCTATCATATCCACCCTTGTTGAACAAACTATAATTTATTTGTTTTCTTGGTTTAAACCAAAACTTAAGTTTTACATCAGAAATAGGAACTAAATTAATTTACTTTTCAAGTTTTCTTATAAAAA